CAACTGACTGTCATGTAGGTTTTACTTGTTTAATGAGTTGAAAGCTGTTGTTTTTTGGCTGATGTTATTATTTAACAAAATATTTTTTGATGGCCTTATTTGCTTTTGTCAGCAAACATTTTTCTTTTGTGTCTATTTGTTTAAGGCTTTAATGCTAGAAGTAGGGATGTAAATGAGCCATTCTTAAGTGAGTTGGGAGTTTGCTCTTGTTCGACTACTTCGAAATTTTGTATATTTATGTTCGGCTCATGTTTGAAATTGTTTAGGAAGAATTTGTCCGTGTTTGGCTTAATAGAATTGGATTTGAACATAAATTCTATGGAGGATAAAAAATAAGATTTTAATTTTAATTAAAGATTATGTATAGCAATTTAAACCACAAGAACTCATGAACTCCCAACATATACCTTACATGAGTTTCACTTTCAAATGGTTAAGCTTTGCATCACAATCTAAATGAGAAAAGTGTCAAAATAGTTCCTTTACTTTTTGCAAAGAGCCTTTTAAGTCTCACACTTTATAAAAATATCAATTTAGTTATCGAACTCTTTTAATATGGGTTGAAATAGTCTCCAATGATGGCTATTGTAGCCTCTTTGAAGGAATCTAAGGACTAATTTTTCACTTTTATAAACTCCAAAACTTAAATAGCCTCATGTAAAAAGTCTAGGGACTATTTTGGCATTTTATTGTAATTTAACCAGCCTAAGGCTAAATTTTCAAATGATGTGGGATTAAAGATCAAAGAGGTAATACTGTTGTGTTCCTAATCTTCTATGTTATTCTATTTTTCCTTTGCTAAGTTAAAGGAAAAGTTATTGCAAGTTTTAAAGAGTTTTTAATCTTAAAAGGTTAAATGCATCAATTTTTGCTTGCGTTAGAGACGCCAGATGCCTAAATTGGGTTAAATATTTAATGAGAGGTATTGAAATTAGTATGTGTTATGGTCCTATCTATTTGAATAACACCGCTAGTTTTAAGGGGACTTAATGGGACTTTTTTTTTTTTCTTTGAGTGATCCCCTTTTTTTCGTTGATCCCACACCTTCGACTATCTGTGTAAGAGTTTAGGAGTTTCAAAATGAGACAGGATTAGTCTGAATATAAATTAATTTGGTATCAAAATTAAGTACAAAAAATTGAACTTACTAGTTAACAAATATTTATTTTGATGTTAAATTCTTAATATATATTTTAATAATAAATTTAATGGTAGTACAATTTATTATAAGTAAAATTTTTTGATTAAATCATACTAAAACTTAGCTATATATTTAACTATAGATATCATTTATTTTTTCATCGTGGAATATTTTATTTCATTATGATTCTATCGTCAGGTAATTTTAACTAGTTTTTTTTAATATAAATTCTTTTTTAAGGGCGCTAATAAAATTTACATTTGAGCATTAGTTTCATAAATTTTGAAATTGTGAGGACTGACAAGATTTAAACACTATAAAATTTTCACTTTTTATTTAAAATTTTGAACGACTTTAGTATGAATTTTCCATCGAGAGGCTTTCCTTTCATGTTGGTTTATACCACTAAGTGGGGGTTGAGAAGAGAAGCGACATCGATAGCGAAAATTCTATTAGAAATATAAAACATAATGTGAATCTCCTAAAATTGCTTCAAGTGTTTTCTATCCAAAATAATGCTTCAACTTTTATCAATAAATTTTATAATTCAATTTTTTGGAATTATAGTGACGTTAATAATAGTGTCCTAAGAATTTGATTTTTGTTTGAAGCAATTTAATTTTTGAAGTTGATTCAACTATTTTATTTTTACAAACTTCACCATTTTAAAATTTGTAAATGTTTTAAGTGTTCATCAATATTTTTGAAAAATATTAAAATCACATTTATGTAATCTATAATATAAGTAGAATAGAGATTAATTACATCATTCATAATATGTTGGAATTATGATGGAACATTTTTAATCAAAAAGATTAAACATTCCATTCATTAGTTCCAAATTGAGTAGTAAAAGTGGATTTGTATTTATCTTCTTTAATTTAAATATATGGACATGAATTTTAAATCAAATTAAAAAATATATATATGGATAATTTAATGGACTATGTAAGTCCCTTTTACCAGCCCAAATAAAGAAAAAATATTACCTCAGGAGTACTGATGCATCAGTACTCCAATGAGGGGGTGCCACGTAGGCAATGATCCCCAATGAGGGGGTGCCACGTAGGCACCACGGTGGGACCATTGCTTACGTGGCACCCCCTCATTGGAGTACTGATGCATCAGTACTCCTGAGGTAATATTTTTTCTTTATTTGGGCTGGATATTTTATTCATGTTAAAGCTCTATTCAATGGTTTGTAATTAATCACTAACTTAAATCTTTTTTTTTGTAGTATTTATAACATGAAGGCTGTACAACTCCAAATTGGAGTTGTAGACAATTCTTTTAATTTAATAAATCACTAATTTTTTGTTTGCCAAATCTAAATATTATTTATTTATCTGATACGGTCTAGCTTTCATTGGAATATTTTTCTTATCAAATATTTCTTCATACGAAGGGGACAATGAATTATTTTATTCTAAAAAGTTGATTGGTTTATTGCCACAAATTATTTATTGAAAGACTATTGATTTAAAAAATTTTTTTTTTTTTGTGTTTTACGATGATTAATATTTTGTAAAATAAATTTGTTAGTGATTTCTTATTTAAGTGAATTAATAATATGCATGATTTTATTATTAATTTTGTTTATTTTATTTAGAATAATTTCTTTTGAATAAAAAATAAAATGAAATGAAATAGGTTTGTTAAATATTTTATATTCTATTTTTTATATCTAATTTGGTAATCGACTTTATTTTTCGTGTGTCTAAAATTTTGTTTTGGGTATATTTTTTATTAATAAAAAAATGACTAGAATGCACTTGGTGAAAATAATTTAAGTATATATTATTAAATATATAAATTATGAATAGCTTGCAATTAGCAAGCGAAAAAAGGAAGAAAATGAGTAGAGAAATTGATAAATTTTTACAATCCTTGCCAAAAGCCTTTATACGCAAATAAAATAATTTTTCCAGTTTAATATTATTCATAATTAATAAAGAATGTGTCATTCAAAATCTCATAGATTTCTGATAGCGATGTTTCTAATCCCGTCGCCAAATTTAATATATATATATATATATATAAATTTGAAAAGCCCAAGGGCTGATTTTATTGAAATAGAAAAGATACATAAATGTTGTATGAGAGAGCCCAGTAGAGGCACCCTACCCATACTATACCAAGTACAGTTCTACCCCAACCAAAAATACAAATATATTTAAAAAAAATTAAAGCATGCAGAAAACAAGTAGCTAGGGACGAGTCAGTTTAGTCATGCCCCTTCCTCTAGTTTTAGGAGCGGAGCCAGATAACAAATTTTGAAGTGTCGTGCCATTACCAGGAGTAACCAAAGTATTATCCATTAAGTTTCCAAGTTGGAGTGTGCCCCCAACCTTCTTCCGTCGAGAAGTGTAAACCTGTCATTCTTCATCTGAAGATTGACTCATGTGATCCTCGGTCAGGTTAAATATTAGAACTGCAGTAGAAGAAAAGACAGTCGTTTGCACAACGATAGGTTTCATTGTTTGTGAAGTGTGAATTGTCACCTCTGCATCTGATGCTTTCTGAGTAGGAGCTGCGGAGCTATCCTGACTTTCGGTCTGAACATTATCCCTTATAGTATGTTCAGGAGAAGGGTTCCCAGGGGCGGACACCATTTCCTGTCTTGTGGTGATTCCCCCCTTAGATTGGCTGTCATCAGTTTTGTTAGGAGCGTGTTCAGGCACGTAATGTGCACTAGCATCATGTTCCTGCTTTTGACTTTTGATTTTCAACTGTGGGTGCAATCTGAAACATTTCTATTGCGGGTGTCCAAACATCTTGCAGTGCTTGCAGTAGTAAGGTTTTTGTTCCATATTGATTTTTTGTCAATAATCATTGTGAGCAGAGCCAAACCAGACTTCTTCTACATCTGGTAGTGTAATATCCCTTTCAATCAAAATCGTTGCAATAAAGGGCCTAGAGAAATGAACTGTAGGTGTGTCTACCTGCAAAGATTTTCCAAGGATAGTCCCAATTGCATATAAGGTAGGTAGACAAAGAATTGAAGTTTGAGTTCAGGTAATGAGAACCAGATAGACGCAATTAGGGGTTATTGATTAGGATAAAAATCAGGGCTCCATTTAAGCAATTTTATATGATTGCCCTCGATTGTGATGAATTTCTTCGAGAAAATTCTTGTGTAATCTTTTTCTATGCCCAACTGTATCATAACATGTCTTCCGTCGAGAAGACCCACCTGTCAAACCCCAACTAGTTTGAAATCTTCAAAAATCTTCCTGATAATCTCCATCTTAGGACGACTTAATTAGAGCTTTCCAACTAGTGAAAATTTGTATTTTCTTGTACGAGTTGAAATTTCAGCGTCAGAGAAAAATAATGCTGGTTTGTCTGCCTTCTTCTCTATTTTTTTGATGAGATTGCAATCTCCATGTTTTGCAACATAATCATGGTACATCTGCGGGAACATCAGACTATCTACAAGATGGAAACAGGAGCTGCGTTTGTGAACCACTGTAGCATCGGAGGGTTTGGCGGGATTATCACCGGCGAGAGCGGCAGTGTAGGATAGCCCTGAGGCCATGAGCGTGCTTCACAGAAGCACAAATATATATATATATAGATAGATATATATATAGATATTATATATTAGTCCAAACCAAATACAGTCAAATAAAGGTTTGTTCTTGTTTGGCTGAGCTCAAAATATTTGTTGTTATTTGGCTAACTTAACAAATTAATTAAAGAACCTATTAACGGGCTGATCGTGAAGGATGAGCTTTTTTTGAAAGCCCTGCCAGAAAAGCATGCTATGTTTTGCTTGTTTAAACTGATTTTCTGCTAACTTTTTTTATGTTGCTTATGTTTTAATTGAGCCTCATACTTGCTACTGTTTATATTGTAGGGAGGTAAGGGGATTACAGATCTAAAACTGGATTTTGAGGTATTTGGTGGTCTCATATAATCTTTTGCTTTCTTCAGTGTTTGTCCATTTGGGCTAAAATTTACAATTTTAGAATATATTTGGTGAATCATTGCTTGACAAAAATGATTTTCTTCGAACATTTTCCACAGAAAGTCATTGTTTGAGGTATGAATTCGCAAATCCATGTTGCATTCAGCAGACACTCTCATTTGAGTTGAATTCCGTTTCATCCTGCCCTTTTTTCTCAGAAATACTATTTCGGCTGGAACTGTTTTGCAATGTCACTCTTTCAATGAGGAGGCTGATTCATCTGATACTCATTCGCATGGTTCATCCATTGAGGTACACTGCTAAAGTTGTTCTAGAAACTAGCAATTTGACAACATTTTTATCATGATTTAAGTTTTAATGTGTGAAAATTGAGGGTGTTTGCATTTTGTCCTTGCAAGATTCCAGTAAATTAAAATTTCTCAAGTCTTATGAGCTTCATAGTAACGACGGTTAACTGTTTTATTATTATTATTATTATTATTTTACTAGTTCTTCTAAGTTCCTTGCAAGTTTCCAGTACATTAAAATTTCACAAGTCTCATGAACTTCATAGTAACTACGGTTAACCGTTTTTTTTTTTTTTGTAATTTTCTTTTCTTCCCTTTTTTTGAATGATAGAGATTTTGGCATATGTCTCGTCATTTTAATCTAATATGACTTTGGTTATGTTGGGCACTCTTCAAATGACAAATTTAATGGTATTTTGGCCTTTTCTTTAAAATACTTATGCTCTTCTGGGTTCAGAGTATCTTAGCATTTATTTTTCTGACCGATACCATATCTTTACAGCACCAGGTTGTCCGAATGGAACTAAACAGCATGCCTGTTGGATTGTTGTATAGTCGTCTTGTACCTCTTACTTTTCTTCTTATAGATGGTATTGTTTCTTTTTTTTTTAACCTTTTATAAGCCATAATTATTGAGTTTCCTGTTTATTAAGTGACACTTTGGTAATGCTTTACAGGCAGCAGTCCAATTGATGTGACAGATTCAAAATGGGATATTTATTTCACAGTAAAGAAAATACAAAGCAACACAGGGGAATATGATCTTACATTGCTCGGTTTTGCAACAGTATATCGATTCTATCATCACCCTGGAAGCACTCGCCTTAGACTAAGCCAGGTGTGCTCCATCAGTTCTTATTTACTTTTGCGATATTGATTCTAGCGTTTATGACCTCTAATAATTAGTTTTTGTACAAGTTCTCAGTATGACATTGATTTTCTACCATTTCTGCACTATTTTTACAACTTATAGATATGATGCTCATTATGTCTTTTAAATTTTTTTTTTTTTTTTTGTGGTTATGGAATTTTACTCTGGTCGCACATTATGCTGAGGACTTGTTTGGTTGTCGCTTGCTTTGGTGGGTTTACATCTTTAGTTAAACTAGGTGGGTTTATATCTTATATACAGAAACTAGCTCAAGCCTCAAATCCTAACAAAACAAATTGTGTCACTTTCCTATGCCTGAACAGCTTATGATTGGCTTTTCCTAAAACTACATTTAGGTATAGTTGTTTAAAATGTCTCAGAAAAGGGGCTAAACGTCTTCTGCTTTTTCACATCCTGTGCTTCCCATGATAACCAACACCATCATTTATATCCGTCTAACCTTTGTTCTGATGCATGTCATCGCAATCGTTGCGTCCCATTGATGTTGCAGTTGTCATCAGTGCTTTAATCTTCATCACGCTTAAGGCCGCAAGCATTGTTGATGCTGCAGATGAGTCATTGCTAGAATCATTCTCAATCATGCAATAATTAGATGATTAGTTTTCTAATTAGTTCCTAATTGTTCTAGCTCTGATTTCTTTAATTAATTTAGAACTAATTAATGCTATTAATTCCCACTGAAGTTTTATTTCTTTTTGCTTTTCCAAACTATTTGTAGCATGCCATGTTAGTCTATGTGAAGTCTCTTGTTGTGAGTTGAGAGCACTTACTATTTGGTTCGGCCTCAATGTTAGCTTAAGACCCTTAAGAGCCTAGCCCACTCGTTTTTAAACTTAAAATTTAATTTTTTTGTTCAAAGGTTTAAAATGTTTAGGAGGCTTTTGATTTGCATGGAATTATTAATCAGCTTAACCCATTTAATCCGGCTTGTTTGCTACAACCAATAATAGCTGCAATAGTCACGGAATATAGTCCGATGGAGGAACTTCTTGTTGTTACCACTTCACACAAGATTTATATGTTTGGCTTTAGGGATCCGATTAAGCTTAAATTTAAAGCTACTTTGAAATAACTCTTTTAATTTAGTCCGGTTCTAACTTTTTAACCACCCATATAGCTTAATTCCAGGTTATCAATCAAGAATGACAGAAATCAAACAGAATTAAGAGTTTCCTTATTTAAATTGCTCCTGATTTTCCTCTCTTGTTAATTGTACATATTATTTCGTTATAATTGAATATTTAGATTAAGAATATGTATTATTAGGTTACCTAAAATAGATTGTACAAATTATTATTTAATGGAGTGAAAGCAAAGGAAAAAGGCATTAAGCCAATTTTCTCAAAAGTTGATATGGTATTAAAGCCACACAACTGAATACTTCATTGAATTGGTAGTTTTCTTGTATTCTTGGAATTGCTGGTTTGTTCTGGGTTTGGTAATCTCGGATTTTCAGTGCGTTTCCAGCCTGTGGTCTTCTCTGTCACAACGATTCCACCTTTGCCTTCTTCACACGCAGCTGCCCTTGCACAGAGACTACTACAATCCTCTCTGCTCCTCCCCGCCTTGTACGGTTTGCATTGTCCTGTTCCAACGACAGCTGTGTTCCCTTCTGCTACTCCTCTTAGCCGCACCTCCCTCACACCGCGTCGTGAGCCTCTGCGTGATCGATTATCTGCCCTCACAAGCCCGAGAGCTTTTCCCCGCCTTCTCTTTTTGTTGTTTTCTTGCACCAAAGTCACATTCGAGCTTAGAGGAGCACCAATGCCGATTTTACGTGTTTCTTGGCACACAAAAGCTCTCCGTGTTCAGACCTTTCCATGCGGGAGCTGTCGCCGATTTCCATAGAGTTTCTTTTGGTTTTCTGTGGTTTTAGGTTTGATTATTTTCTATCAACAACTTCTTTGATAATTAACTTGTGATTGAAAATTTTGTTTAGAATGTCTTCTGAGAATATACATGAAATCTTAGCTATCAGATTTATGGGAAAGAATCATGTAGCATGAGAATTTCAGTTCAAGATGTTTTTGAAAAGGAAGAAGTGTTGGGGTCATATTGATGGTTCTTCTCTAGCACCTAAAAATCCGAAAGATCTTGGTCAATGGGAGGCAAAGGATGCTCGGATTGTTTCTTCGATTTTGGAATCTATTGAAATTCATTTGGTGAACAATTTATGATCCTTTGTTATAGCTAAAGAAATGTGGGATTACTTGAAACGTGTTTACAATAAAGATAATACTGCAAGAAGCTTTCAATTGGAACTTGATATGAGTAATTATAGTCAAGGTAATCTCTCAATTGAACAATATTACTCAGACTTTCTTAATTTATGGAGCGAATATTCACTGGGAGGCAAAGGATGCTCAAATTGTTTGTTGGATTTTGAAATCTATTGAAGTTCATATGGTGAACAATTTCTGACCCTTTGACACAGCTAAAGAAATGTGGGATTACTTGAAGCACGTCTACAATTAAGATAATACTGCAAGACGTTTTCAATTGAAACTTGATATGAGCAATTATAGTCAAGGTAATATCTCAATTGAACAATCTTACTCTGGCTTTCTTAATTTATAAAGCGAATATTCTGGTATTATCTATGCTAAGATGTCAAAGGAGAATTTAGCTAGTTTTTAGGCTATTCATGAAGTGAGTCATCGTGATCAGTTTTTGTTGAAGCTCAGATCTGATTTTGAAACTGCTCAGGCTGAGTTGCTAAATAGAGATCCGATCCCTTGTTTGGATGTATGTTTTGATGAATTACTGCACGGAGAATAAAGATTGGCGACACAAGCCTCTATCGGTGCAGCTGGTGTATCATCTGAAATAGTTAAAGTTGCATATGCCGCTCTTTATATTGCTCGCCATTGTAGTAAGAAATTTTGTAATTATTGCAAGCAAAGCAAACATATTATTAAGGTGTGTCCTACACGGCCTTAAAACTGCAGACCACAAGCCCTTCATGCTACGGTATCCGACTCACAAAATCTTGGTTCGACATCCACAGTTGTTGGCAATAATCAATCTGTTCTCACACCAGATATGATTTAACAGATGATTTTCTTCGCCTTTTCTGCTTTTGGTCTTCAAGGGAAAGGTAAGAATTTTGCTTATGTTCCTTCTTGGTTTGTTAATTCCGACGCCACAAATCATGTCTGGCATAGCTGATTTATTGCACAATCTATTCAGGTTGCTGATTAAAATAATATTTCAATTACGACAGTTGGTGATATTAGCTTCTTCCGACATGTCTTGGTTTCCCATAAATTATCTACTAATTTTATGTTGGTCAAATGGTGAATATTATCTGTGATGTAAACTTTTCTTGTGATGGTTGTATTGTGCATGATCAAGTATCAGGAGAGGTGATAGCGAAGAGACCTAAAGTAGACAAGTTATTTCCATTATAATTTATCGTTCCTCGGACTGTCATTAGTTTTTTCAGTTGTTGAAAATATGACTTGCTTCTGACACAGATGATTAGGTCATCCAAATAATGTTGTTTTGAATCATTTATTGCAAAGTGGTATTTTTGGTTCTACAAGTAAAAGTTTATTAGTTGATTGGTCTTCTTTTAATCTGAGCAAAAGTCAGGCATTGCCTTTTTCTATTTTGAGTAGTCGTGCCAATAGATATTTTGACATTATTCATAGTGATGTTTGGGGAATTACATTGGTTATTTCACACACTTAGTATAATTATTTTGTGACATTTATTGACGATTATAGTCTATTCACATGGATCTATCTCTTGCATTCAAAATCAGAAGTGTTTATTGTGTTTCAAACCTTTGTGACATATATTGAAATTTAATTCTCCACTTACATTAACATCTTACGGTTTGACAATGGTGGTGAATACATGTCTTATGAGTTTCAAACATTTCTCTATAGCGAGGGTATTGTTTCACAACATTCATGTTCTTATACACATCAACAAAATGGAGTTGTCGAACGGAAAAATTGACATCTGTTGGATATGACGCGCACATTGTTGTTAGAATCTTCTGTCCCAGCTAAGTTTTCGACTGAAGCTTTATCTACTACAGTTTACCATTTCTACAATTAATGTTTGATTCCCCCTACTATCGAATTTTGGCTAGACATCCTAATTATCATATGCTACATACTTGCGGATATGTTTGTTTTGTTCATTTACCTACTCATTAATATTATAAGTTGACAGCCCAGTCAGTTCGATGTGCATTTATGGGTTACAGTCCTAATCATATAGGTTTTATGTGTTATGATTCAATTAATAATCGATGACGTATCTCTCGGGATGTGATTTTCTTTGAACATGAATGTTATTTTCAGCATCATCTTTCATCATCTGATATTGTTGTACTTCTTCACTTTGTTGATTCTTCTTTTGATAATCAGTTCAAGTCTGGCCTTGTCTACACACGATGCCTGCCCCGTTCTCCTCCAGTCATTCCTGACTCTGCTCCTGAAAATGCTCCAATGATTCTTCGTCGATCAACTCGGCATATTTGTCCTCCGGATAGATATGGCTTTTCTACAATTTTAACTAATACTAGATTTCCTACCTCTTATTCTCAGGCCGCTAAACAGACTTACTGGATAAATGTCATGCAAGAGAAACTTCAGACACTTCAAGACAATCATACGTGAGATATTGTTTCATGTCATGTAGGGGTTAAATCCATTGGTTGTAAATAGATTTATTTTGTTAAGCTCCGATGTGATGGTTCCCTTGACAGATATAAGGCTAGATTGGTAGCTCTTAGTAGGCGACAGGAATATGGGATTGATTATGATCAGACCTTTGCACCTATGGCTGAGAAGACAACAATCCGACTTGTTCTATCTATTGCTTCGTCTAAAGATTGGTCCTTACGACAGATGGAGGTTAAGAATGCATTTTTGTATGGGGACATCAAGGAAGATATCTATATGACTCTAGACTTGTTTTCTACACCACACCCTCACATAATATTTGTAAGCTCAAACAGTTTCTATACGGTTTGAAACAGGCTCGACGGGTCTGGTTTGAAAAGTTTCACAATACTCTTTTTAGCTTTTCTTTTATTTAAAGTCAGTATGTTTCTTCATTATGTTTTTGGAAGACTGGTAAGTGAATTGTGTTTTTATTAGTCTATGTTGATGAGAGTGTCATCACATGATCAGAGTTACAAAAGCGTCTTCAGGGCTCTTTTCATATGAAGGATTTGTGGTCTTTAATTTATTTCTTAGGTTTTGAAGTTCACTCTTCTTCCGCTGGTATTTTTCTTCATCAGCATAACTATAGTAAGGAACTCATTGCTTTGGCTGGTCTCCAAGAGGGTCGTTCTGTTGATACTCCTCTGGAAGTGATTGTTAAATATCAACAGAATGATGGTGACTTGCTGTCTGATCCATCTCTGTATCGATGTTTTGTTGAGAGTTTCAATTATCTAACCATTACACGTCCTGATATTTCATTTGTTGTACAACAAGTTAGTCAACTTATGTTGGCATATGCACATCTTCATTTAGCTGCAGTTCGACGTATTGTTAGGGATTTGAAAGGTACTTCTCATCGTGGTTTGTTCTTTTCTGCGAAGTCTCCTATTCGCTTAACAACCTATAGTGATGCTGATTGGGTTGGTTGTTCTGATACACTTCAATCTATTACTAGTTGGTGTATATTTCTCGACAACTCGTTAATTTCTTGGAAGAGTAAAAAATAAGATTGAGTGTCTTAAGTCTTCTACTGAGTTTGAATATCGTGTTATATCCTCTGCTTGTTCTGAGATCATTTGGCTTCGGGGTTTGTTGGTTGAGCTTGGTTTTTCTTAACTTGAGTCTACTTCTCTATATGCAGATAATACTAGTGCTATTCAGATTACTGCTAATTCTGTTCTTCATGAGCACTCAAAATACATTTATGTGGATTGTCATTTTATTCAAGAAGCTTATGATAATGATGTTATTTCTCTCCCTCATATCTCTTCTGATCTTCAAGCGACTGATATATTTGTTAAGACTCTTTCTCAGTAGCGTCATCAGTTCTTTCTTGGCAAATTCATACTTCTTGATCAGTCAACATCAATTTGACGGGGGATATCAATTAAGAATGACATAAATCAGGCAAAATTAGGAGTTTCCTTATTTAAATTGCTCCTTATTTTCCTCTCTTGTTAATTGTACATATTCTTTCCTTATAACTGAATATTTACATTAGGGATATGTATTATTAGGTTATCTAAAATAGATTGTACAAATTATTATGTATTTTTAGGTTACTTAAAATAGAATGTACAGATTATTTTTTAATGCAATGAAAGCAAAGGAAAAAGGTATTCAACCAATTTTCTCAAAAGTTGATACAGGTAAGATTCTCTCTTTGTTTATCTTGCTTAGCTTATTTTTATTCAATAAAAGCTCCAAACACACAAAATTCCTAACTAAATTTAGTGTTCTCTGTACTCACTAGCAGCAGTCTGTTCAATTTATAGAAGAACATTTTGCCTGGCATCACAAGTCTACAACTTGACTTCAACTTTTGTCATTTCTGCTGTCAGATACTGGTATTGCCTCCTTACCAGGGTAAAGGGCACGGTCGACGGCTGCTAGAGTCGGTTAATTCAACTGCAATAACTGAGAATGTGTACGACTTGACCGTGGAAGAACCTTCAGAGTACCTGCAGTACCTGAGATCTTGCATTGACACTCTTCGCTTGTTTGATTTTGAGCCCATAAAACCAGCCATAAACTCTATTGCATCATCACTAAGCACGGAGTCCGTATCCAACAGTGCCTTGAAGTCACTGGCAGGCCCACCAACTCATGCTGTTGAGATTGTACGCCAAAAATTAAAGATCAACAAGACCCAGTTCCTTAAGTGTTGGGATGTCCTCATATATCTGATGCTTGACAACAAGAACCGCATCATCATGGAAAACTTCAGAGCAGTCATCTTGGCTCGTGTGCGGAGTGATATCTTTGATAAGGATGCCGAATCCAAAGGAAAGCATCTAGTTGAAGTGCCAAATGATTATGATCATGATATGACCTTTGTTGTATATTGTCCGCACGAAGGAGGAGAATCGGAGAGCTTAGAAAGAAGGCTAGATAGTGATCAAGCTGATCAGGAGCAGCAGTTAAATAAGTTGGTAGACAAAAAATTAGAGGAGATTGTTGAGATTGCAGAGAAGGTTTGTTCCCTGAGTAAGTGAGATTGGCTATTCGGTACCAGGACTAATGTGTTCTCCTTTGCGCTAGCAAGAGTTTAAGATTCAATTTGTTATGCTATGTTGCTTGCATGACAAAGAAACTGTTTAGGTCTGTTCATTGAAGAGGTAATGATTTTTTTTATTTGGCTTGCTGTTCGTAGTCAGCTGTAATTCGATAACTGGTAAATTTGGGGAATCACTTCTCTGGACTTCATTTATTTTTATTTCTATGTAGTAATTTTTCGACTTTAGTGGTATTTTCTTGACGTATTATTTGTTTTATGTATTTCATAAGTTCAGTTGATAAATAGTTTTGTTTTAAAGATTTTTGAGTTCGATCACTTTCTATATGCTATGATAAATCCACTTAGGGTTTATGATTAAAAATTGTTCTGTATGATATCTGGTGAAATAATCTTCAACATGTATGATAGATTCCTCAAATTAATAACCATTTCATATTCATGGGAGAAAGTGTAATCAAAATCTAAAAAATTGATAAAATTTTATGATTTTGGTTGGATCTAGGCAGCTAAAATTAGTGCCATTTTTTAAGATAAAAAAATTTCTACTTCATGTATTGATCTTCTTACTTGGTTCCTTGATTACTTATTGATAAAAGATGGGGCAAATATGTGCCGCGTACTCTGATCTGTTGGTTGGCATCCTCGGTATGAAACTCCTCAGGTCGGGGGTTCGAATCTCCTCTAGCATAGTTTGTATTAAGGTGGTACTTGAATTGTTAATCACATTAGGGGTGGCTTGAGAGAGTATAATAGCCTTTAGAAAACACCTCAGAATAACCATGCACAAAAGAAGGGGGAAATCACCTAAAAGATTTAAGAACTTGGAAGTAGAATTCATCCACGTGAAGATTACACGTCATTAATCACTAGAAAGTCTCATTTTTCAAAATAAAAATTCAAAAACTTTACTAACAGATGGAAGGAATGCAGATGACTTTAACATTGGTGATTTTGATTTTTAATGCTGAAGTCCAGTTATTTTAATTTGGATCATTCCAACAAATATATAATTCAAAAGAAAAAAATAAACTAGATATATGATGCTAGGAAAAAAATGTAAAAAAACTCGAAGAAATGTTTTTCTTAATTATGATTTTGAATCATTAGCTGCCTTGTGAGCCAAAAAGGGAGATACAAATAAGTTGTATTTTAAAACTCAAGATTGCAGGAAGACTCCGAGCTTGGTTAGGAATGAGTTACCTTGTGATGATTTGCTTACAATGCTGGAAAAAAAAAGTAAGATGATTTTATGTTATATAAGAAGAAATATACAGAATTGAAAAATAATTATGCCAGTCTAGAAAAAGATTATATTACTTTATTATTTAATTTAAATTGAACTAAGAAGCAACTAATTAAAAAAATTCTTTAACGTTTATCACAAGAAATAAAATTTTTATCTTTAGTACTGTAAGTATGCATTAATTATTGAGATAGATATGCCGAAGTGATATTATATATCTTATAGATTATTTTAAAGGAAAATGCACATTCAAATCTAATGTTGAGTCACATAAACCTACGAAATGTTAAAGTAAAAAAATAATAATAAATAAAGAACGAGTATTACATGTTTCATCCTTTGCAAAAAATAAAAAAATGAAAATAAATTTTTTTTTATTCTACTCGACCTATTATCACTAACAAACTTTGGTAGATGTTTGTGATCTATTTTGTAGGATTTAGGTTAGAAGATTCATCAGAGTTGAGAAGCTAGATTGAAGCGCTAGTGCTTAGGCGCCATAGTAGAGTATCTAAGCACCCAAGGAGCCAAAGATTTGATCTCGAATACTGAATTGTTCTGTATGAGATCTAGTGAAATAATCTTCGACATGTATAATTTAATAACCGATTCGTATTCACGAGAGAAAGTGTATTCAAAATCTAAAAAAGTTGATAAAATACTTAGATTTTTGGTTGAATGCTGGGCAGCTAAAATTAGTGCCATTTTTTAAGATGAAAATTTTTCAACTTCATTTATTGATCTCTTACTTGGTTCCTTGATTACTTGTTAATAAAAGATAGGGCAAACATGTGTTGTGTACTGATCCCAACTTTTATGACAGTACTACGATGTGTGGTTATATTCTCAATTCTTTTTTTTTATATTTCTTTCTTTAAGATGGCGCCAAAAATTTGACTCTGAAGCAAATAAGAGTGCAACCTATTATATTTAAATATTGGTATTATATTTAAATATTGGGATACTACGCAAGTAGACATATCATTATCAAGTAATATAGGACTTTTTAATTAAGCCTCCAATATCGAACCCACAGGGAGAATTTCAGTCTTTTACGTGAAATTAGAAAATAATTTCTAATTTGAAAAATATTCTTACTCAAACTATAGATGATATAATAGAAATGAGTTCATTTCTTTTTGGTAAATTTTTATAATTAAAAATAAAGTAAGCAACTAACTAAATTTAACTAGATATTTGTAAGATGAAAGTAATATAAATAAAAAATATTTTTCCTTATCATAAATTAATAACAAGTATACGAATTCTATTGTGGTAGTATTCAAATTGTGTTGTGCTAAATATGAGCAATATTATTCTTTACCCTTACTAGAGATGCTATAAAAAATATTGGCTAATTTAAAGTTTGAATAGTCCTGAAGACGGGCTAAGTAGGGAAGATACTAGCTCTCACTCTAGAGTTCTCTCTTCTCCCACCACCTGGGGGCCAACATCTCGTATCAAGACCTAAAACTATAAATTGAATTGGGGGCTTTAGCCTGTCACTCTAAAATCCTCTAATTCTACACCCTTCAAAGTTTATTTCCCTATTTATTTGCACTCAACCATATGAACTACATTCTCATCCATACAAGCTCTTGTGATTCTTACAATATCCATCACAAATTATTTTCTTCCCTTTTCCATCGATCTTACATGTTCTCACAACAGATTTTAACATTTTAATTGGCCATATAAAGAAGTAAATAAAGCTTTTAATTGGCCATATAAAGAAGTAAATGAAGATCACAACTTAAAATCATCACAACTTATTCCGACATTAAAGACCAATACTTCACACAACTTCCATCCAACACTTAATTACTTATCATTTTTAAGGAATAAGAAAAGAAAACTACTTAGAATTCTTGGAGAAAGCACAACAACACTTAAGTTTAAAAGTAGAAATCATGTAAACACACAAGAAGTCTAAATTAAAATTAAAGTAGTCACAAAGATAAAAACTTATCTCAAATTCCTCTCCACCAAACTGTTGAGGTTCCTTTGAATCTCTTCTCTTCCTTTCTCTTACAATACTCTCTACTAACACACTACAACTCCTCCCTTTCTTCTCTCTAAAAGTATCCTAATTAATTTATGAGAGAGGTGCGACGACAGCTAATTGAGTCTTTCTATTTCTTTCAATCCAAGTCTTCTTTTATTATTTTCTAAAAGGTGCTTTGGTGTCTCTTTAAAATGTGTCCACATTCAATGAAACTTTCAAGAGTTTCCTTTTTTCAATAGCCATTTGAATGTATTTTCGTGTCCATTAACCATAAACCACGTTTTCACCAAGAGTTTCTTCAAACAGTCCTTAAAAAATTCGTCCAAATTCATTGTTATCCTGACGCTTAAGCGCTAGTCCTAGACGCTTAGGCGCCACAGTTCGTTTGCACACTTTCTTCATTTTTGCTCCAAATTTGATTCCTTTTCACTCTTTTCACCATTTTTCATCCATTTGACTGCACCTGAAAAAAAAACAAAAATACCATCCATTAAAGCGTAATATCCTCAAAAATATATATAAAAATGTGTACATAAATGCTATATATTTTAGGTGTATTAAAATCCTCCAAACTTAATATGTTATTTGTCCTCAAGTGACACTCCAATTTTTCGAAACCAAAATAAGTAAATTATGTAAATGAGTTTCTTTAGGATATTATAAAATTTTAATATAGAAATATAGTAGTCCAATTTAGAAAAAACTTTAGTACATGAGACCAACTTAGAGTTTACAAATCTTTAATGTAAAGAAGTATGAAAATATGAGTTGTTATCTAGTTCAGAAATACTTATAAATTCTCCAAATATAGGTTTTAGACATTCTATCATCTCTACTTAAAAAAATTATTTTGAATAATTATAATTACTATATTATATCCTTAAGCTAAGAGTTTCTCAAGTTTTATACTTTAAAAAGATTAGATGTGGAATCAATTTTTGATTAGGCCCTAATCCTCAAGCTTCTCCTCCCTTTTTCAACTTGACTTTTCTTTTCTTTTCCTTTTTCATTTTTTTTCTTTTTTTTTCTTTCTTCTTCTTTTTCTTTTTCAAGTGAGGATTACTATATCTAGATAAGTCATTATTTATTTTTAATTCCACTCTTCCTATCCTAAAACAAAGTTTTGATATAAATTCTTTACTTAAAATATAATAATTTTTTTGAAAATTAATTCTGATAAAAGAAATTTACGTATTGAAAATAAAAGTCTAATCCTTCGACATTTTTCAAAAATTCAACTTCTCTTACTAAAGATAATTACATAATATTTATCATTTCTAAATTAAAAAAATTTTAACTTTAAGTTTTTCTTCATTATCTTCATTACTATAGGTTTTTACTATAGGTTTAAACTAAATTTTCTTACTCATTTCTATATTCAAAATTTTTCTTCCCTAATACTTCATATAAATAATCATTTTTTCCCAATCAGAATGAAATTTATTTGTAGCACAATTGAGAACAAATAAAATTCAAGTTCTGAAAATTATTTTTCATCCCCCCAAACTTAAATTTTTAATAAGATAAAACATTTTAACATCGTATGTACAGGTAGGGATGAAAATTAAAAAAAATAACAAGTTTACAGGATTTTTATTCCCTAAATATACAAGTACAAAAATTAAAAATAGGATTAAAAATTAATTGATCAAATTTTAACTTAACTTTATTATATATGAGATTCATTAGACTTTTATGCAGTGGAAGATAACATAAAAAAATAAACACACTAACATAAATTCATAATTGCAACAAAAAGAAAATACATGGTAGTAAATTGAAAAATTAAACAAGTGAAAGTTAGTAATATTCTAAACCTTCATAATATTCAGAATTTAGGATTAAGTTCAACACAAACTAACAAAATACACTAGACAACTCCTAGACAACTCAGTTAACACAATTATTACCACAAAAACAAAATATAACTACTCACAACAA